ACATCCCTGCCACAATGCTTACCTGTGTGTAGGCAAGAGGAGGCAGTGGATGCATGTGGCAAAGGCGAGGCAGGGCGAGCATCTGAGGAGATGCCGACCGGTTCGGGGACATGGCCAGCCAGCAGTCACTACCAGTTCTGTGACCAAGGCCAGCATAACCAGTCTGAACCAGTAGGAACCCACCTCTGGGTAGAAGTCTTCAAACAAGATGGAATAGTGGACTGGGAAAAAGACTGATTGAAGATCCTGGTAAAGATTGCAGCCAACTGATCAGCACAGTCTTTTTTTTAAAGTTTTTTATTTTTATACATCTCATCACGTGAATGGTTTGATTCCTGGGTGTCATACAGTTCAATACAAATAAACATAACAGTATTATTCCTAATAATTACATTTCACTTTAATTTTTAGTTTTACTAACACATAAGTTCTACTATCATCCTTCAATTCTAAACCTTCTCATAGTTCTGCCATACATTGTATCATCTTGACATCTGTTTTTACTATTTTCCCCTCTTATTTCTACCTCTATTTTAGTCTTCCCCCCACCTTCCCCTATCATTCTAATATTCAAAGACGTGATCCCTCTATTTTAGTCTTCCCCCCACCTTCCCCTATCATTCTAATATTCAAAGACGTGATCCTTCCTTTTTTCATTATTTAATATTTCAATATGCACTTCTAGCATCAATCATGATCTTTCAAGCATTTATCAAAGTACTTAATCCTAGCTTTTCACTGTTAATCACATTTTAATACATATTTAATAATACCCTTATACAAATTCTGTTTATCTAATTTACAATTTTTCAACCTATATAATTCTAATAATAATATACATTACATTACTACCTTACTAATATATATTCAAAAATGATTTTTATCTCTTACATCACATACAAAGCAGTTATACAACTTATATACGTAGTTCTAATATTCATACACATTGTTAAAATACTTTCATAAAATGTTTTGCTTTACATTCCTTTTCTTTCCCTTTATCCCACATCTTTCACCCTCATCCAAATTTGTAATCTTCTTTTTTTGGGTTGTCTCCCATACACTTCTTTTAATTCTTTTATTTCACCTACTTTTGAATCTGTGTTATAACTATGCCCTCTACTTATCTCTCCCTTCACCCTTTTTCCCCACTGTCTAGTTCTATGGCTACCTATTCTAACCCCCTTTTCTTCTCTCCAGCTGACTTCCTGTTTCTCCCATTTCTTTTTCACATCTTTTAGAATATTTTCCTTCTGTTCTAATCCCTTATTCACCATCAATTGTACTAATATCTTCTTGTTGATTTCCCTATTCTGCTGTCTCCTCCGCCCTTTCTAGTGATTCCATTCTTTCCTCATTGTCCTGTTCTTTACTTGTTGTTCCTTGTATTATATTTTCCAATTTTTGATCTATACGATCTATACAGCCAAATATTTCCTTCATCTCCTTGTGTTGTTCTTTTATAAAATCCTTAATGTCTTGGTACATCAGCTCCATTTCATTGTCTCCACTTGCTTCCATTTTACAATCAATCCAATTTTAAAAAAGAAACCAGGGGTTTGTCCACGCCTCTTCCAATCACTTTAATTTGCTCAACAATATTCCAGGACACTTGGCTAAAGGTCTTGTTTAATGTATAAGTCCGTGATGGCGAACCTATGGCACGCATGCCACAGGTGGCACACGAAGCCATATTTGCTGGCACGGCAGCCCTCAGCTCCGACGTGCATGCACGAACTGGCCAGTTGATTTTCAGCCTTCCGGAGGGCTGAGGGAGGCCGTTTTTCACCTTCCCCAGGCTTCAGAGGCTTTCCTGAAGCCTGGGGAGAGTGAAAATGGCCTCCCCCAGCCCCCCCGGAGGTCGTCTGGAAGGCAGAAACAGATCATTTGCGAACTTCCATTTAGCCTGTTTTTCGCCCTCCCCAGGCTCCGGAGGCTTTTCTGAACCCTGAGGGGGAGGAAAAACAGGCCCAGTGGGCCAACCAAAAGTTCGGAAATGATTTGTTTCCGCCTTCCAGAGGGCCACCAGTGGAGGCCGTTTTTGCCCTCCCCAGGCTTCAGGAAAGCCTCTGGAGCCTGGGGAGGGCAAAAACTCCTGCTCCCCCACGCATACGGGGGGGTCACACGTGCACACAATTTTGGCACACCTTTAGAAAAAGGTTAGCCATCACTGGTATAAATCTCCAGTAATTTTAAGGTAAATACTCATAATCCAGCAATGTAAAAAGTCCCAAAGTTGCACAGCTCTCCTTTTAGCAGCAGATGGCACTCAAACTTCAACTTGGTACTGCGTAATGTTGATAGTCTGATTTTAATTATTTTAAACTATAAATACAGTAGGAGGGCAATGTTTATAATAATAAAAAACAAGCTCCAGATCAAATTCCAGTATTTTTTAAAATACCTTTTCAATACAACATCTTCACTTTGAGAGTTAAATTTTCTTTTCCTTAGTTTTCTTTTAAAAAGTTATCTTCTTAAATATTCTGATTTTTTTAATGTGCTTATTCTGCCACTAGCCAATAGTTCCAATATGCTTCCCCTTGAATTTCCTGGGGTCACTTTTCAACAAAAAATATTCTCTTACCCAGTTCACGAGCCACTCACTTTCTCTACTCCTGCCCCGTCTTAGGTTTTCAGGCTGTCTTCAGCTTCATGGCAGCCATGCTTGCTGCCGCTGCTCCCTGTCATCAGCTGAGGGGGCTTTCCTCGTTAGGGAGGGGAGATGCAGCTCCCCTCTACCTGCTAGGCAGTCCCCCTTTTGCTTCACCACTCCTCCAGAATGGCTATGGTCCAAATTTGGACCCTCCAATAAGGAGAGGTCGGAGCTGGCCACGGAGTTCACGGACCAGGCTTCTGATGGTGCCGGAAGTACAACCCTGACCAGCACAGTCTTTAAGCACTTGGCCAGAGATACTGTCAGGACTGGCAGCCTTTCTAGGGTTCACAGCCCTCAAACTGCTCCTCACCTCTTGTTACTCCACAATGAGGTAGGGGCTACAAAGTGCTGGTGGCTGTACTTTATCTGTCTCTGATGTCTCCACTTCAAAGCGAGCAAAGAAATGATTCAACTCCTCTGCCAACGAAGCATCCCTCTCAGCAAGGATGACATTGGTTGGTTGATGGTTGGTGATTTGTTGAACCCCTTGCCACAACTGCCTCATGTTATTACTATAAAAATTATCCTCAATCTTCCTTTTATAATCAGTCATGGCCTTTCGGATACCTTTCTTCAGACTAGCTCTAGCAGCACTGTATCTTGCCCCATCACCGGACCTAAAGACTAAGCTGGCTAGGGAACTCTGGAAGTTGAAGTCCACACATCCTCAAGTTGCTTAGATTGAGAAACAGAAGAAACAGATTGTTATCAGAAGAAGAAGCAGGTCAATACCCAGAGCTGGTTTCTCTGCAGATCACCTAAATATTGAAGGAAGGAAGATGATAAAGTTTGAGAAAGCAACGTTAGCAGGAAAGAAGTGATCAGACATAGAAGGTTGCTGAATGGATACAAAAGGACAAGGAAATAGGTGCAATTTGATTGGACTTGGCCTTCTTCTTGTAATCTGGCCGAGATGTGGTAATGTGATAGTTGAATCTAAGGTATATACCAGGTCAAAGAAAGAGGTAGGGTTGATCCCATCTTCAAGGAGATATTACTGTAATACTTCACTGCAATGGGAGAGATCAGAAGCTATAATCTTGATAGGGGCAGTTTTCTGACTTTTTTGCTCCCCCTGGTGGCAGCTTTTGATGAAGATCGATGTTATGAACCCTTCCTGGCCCNAAATATTTGAGTTAAAATACTTGAGTTAATATGAATTATGCTTGATGACTGTGGAAGAGATTACAGTATGTATTGATGAGAATTTTTTTATGTTGTTTCTTATGTTTAAAAATAAAAAAAATGCAAAAAAAAAAAGAAATCCAGTTATTTATTAGGAGCAACATGTCGCCACGTACCAAAGTGAAGCCAGCTCTGCCCCCACATGATTTACGGCCCAATTATGACCCTGTTTTCCCCCTCCTCCCAGGGTGTGTCATAAATCACATTCTCCAACAAAGCACTTTGGTGGGCTGTAGAGATTACCCTCCGGCTGTTGCAGGTATCCTGGGATACAGCCTTGAGAAAGGTATGCGTAGAATGAGCTTCTGGTTGTGGCTGCCGTGCTGCTCCGTCAGTTTCACCCACTCCTGCTTATGGCAACTCAAGAGCAGGCCAGGGATGCTTTGCAAGTTGACAGCTTTCTTCTTGTGATTTGACCAAGATGTGGTAATGCTGTAGTTGAATCTATATACCAGGTCAACAACACAGGTAGGATTGATCCCATCTTCAAGGAGATATTAGTATAATACTTTACTGCAATGGGAGTGTTCTGTCCTCACTACATGTTAGTCTGTGTGCAGCTTGACATGCAGCTAAACCCATGTATCCTCCAATAAAACAGACCGTGTACATAAATCTGAATGCCTTATTGAAAGAACAGGATATGGTAAAACTGGGGAAAATAGGGATACATACAATGAGAACCAAATACAAGATAGACAGTATTAAGTTACTGCTGGACATAACAATTAATAAATACAAGCAATTTAAATCTCACCAGTGATGCTCTGTGTGTGGGATATGGGTTTGTCCTTGGATGACCATGTGCCACAGATTAAGATGGATGCTTCTGCCTTCTCCAAATGTTAACGGAAATGGAGTCTGGCTTCCCAGCCTGCACTTGGTTTGAGAGTGTGGGCTGATGGGTAAAATGGGTTGGGTCAACTTCAAACAATATACTTGGTATTTTGTCTCTCCGGCCACTAGATGGGGCTAGAGAACAACAACAGTATATAAGGATCATATGTTTGGCATATTTGTCCCTCCAGCCACTAGATGTGGCTAGAGAGCAACAACAGTATATAAAAGTTATATGCTGGGGCATGACCGGGAGAGATCAGAAGCTATAACTTTTATAGGGGCAGCTTTCTGACTTTTTTGCTCCCCCTGGTGGCAGCTTTTGATGAAAATCGATGTTATGAACCGTTCCTGGCCCATGGAAATTTCAGCACATCAGACCCTCTGTATCGTACAGGGACCATTGTAGAGTTTGCTTGCAGTGCAGGATACATTCTTGAGCAGGGTCCTTCGGCCATTGAATGCATTGATTCAAGAGACCCCCGCTGGAACGAAAGCGAGCCCACCTGCAAAGGTAATCATTCTTCACCTCAAGCTCTCCGCGCAATTTTCCTCTGGAGCCTGATGCGTAATGTCTTTTCTCCTTGATTGCTCTTTTGTGTTCCTGCCCTGCTGCCTGAAAGAGTAATGATGCATGCTGATGGGGCACAACAGGCCTGAGCAAATTACTGCTATACACTNACTATCCAGCTGTGTATCTAATGACTGGAATGACCATATGCCCACTTGCTCATTGCCTTGATGATATTTCCTCCACTGAATTTGAACTTTAAGATCTTCTTCTCCCTCATGATGTATTCACGTCTAACTTTCTACACTTCAGCGTGCTTGAAAGATGCCCAGGTATTTGTAGTGATCATTTTCATCCAGGCTTTTGATGTTATTTCCATGGGACATTTTAATTTCTTCAGTATTCACTATTCCCTCCCCCCCCCTGTTGATAGTAAGAGAAGCACATTCGTCCATTCCAAACTCAAATTTGAAGTCTGAAAAGAAAGGTAAAATATGCAGAAAAGGTGGGTTCTCTTCTCAGATTTAGCAGTAACATGGCAACTCACATTTATGTTTATGGAGTCAACGCGCTCTCAGTATATTATATCAAAAATGAGGCTACGACCTCCTTTGCCTTAACATCCCAAACCACAGGGCTTTGGGAAATGAAAACAGCTGCATTATTTTTAGTGGTGCTATATTTGCAGAGTTGTTCCTTTGCTCCTCAGAGCTCCTGGAGGCATTTAATTGGCAAATGACTTACACTAAATGCCTATACACACACACACATACACACACCCTCTGTCTTGTACCTATTTTTTGCAGGCTTCCTGAAGCAGCCCATCACATCTAACTAAAAGAACAGAAAAGGCACCACAGAGCAAGCGAGTGCATTTCAAGTTTGCTATATCCTGTTGGTTAGCATGCAACTATTTCAAGAAAGCAGACCGGTTTAAATTCCCCGGTCTTGCTTTTAATTATTTGTAAGGGAGATGTGTTTGACATACCATCTCTGCTGTGACCAACTGCAGCTACCCGAGAGAAGCTGAGAGCTTTTATTGCTTCATTGCTGTCTGTTAGTATCTCCCTGTGATGCAGCGAGGCTATTATGATTTGAAGAGGCATGTGGAGAAGGAAATGGAAGAAAGGTTTGCACATGGAACACCTTTTGAAGGCAGCCTTTCTGCCTCTGGTCCCTTTGAATCCAGTTTAAAAGGCGGTTTTGGGCTCAACCCAGATAGTTTTAAACATTTTTAGGCAGCTTGGGCATAAGGAGCTCTGACCTTTCTGGCTAATAATTAAGTAGACATATAGCAATAGCAATAGCAGTAGACTTATATACCGCTTCATAGGCCTTTCAGGCCTCTCTAAGCGGTTTACAGAG